CCGGCCCGCCGCACCTCCAAACGCCTCCCGACGGTCCACCCGACCGACCCGCCATTCTACTGCCCCACTCCAACGGGCGACAGCGGCCTGTTCGTTGGGCCAGCGGTTTCCCACCAGTCCCGCTCGCCGCGCTTTTGCACCACCCTTTTTCCCTTGCCCAGGGCCTCCGCGAACCGCCACGGCCAAATCCCTCGCGCCGCGGTCTCTGTCCGCCCTGCGGTGCCGCCGCGAAACGCCGCGCCTTTATTTCGTCGCTCATGTCCCGCGGGCCTCCAGTCGATTTTTGCTGGGCCCTTTCCTTGCTTTAGGAGTATAGAGAAGAGAAGAGATAAAAGGAAAAAGACCCTGAGAAGTACCCTGGGAAATAGGGGACCCCGGGGAGGGAAGGGCCCAGGCCGCCAGATTGACATGTGGTCTGTTCGTGCTCTGACGCCTCTTTGTAAAATTGAGAAAAATTTAATTGGTCATCGTGGAAGAAATTGCAACCAGAAAAAAGGATCCGTTATCAGAAAGAAATTGGAAGAACCATTTCTTGCGGCATAGGGACCACGCTCCACTATGCACAACATGCACGAAAGACAAAAAAAAATATGGCCGAGTATCCGTCCATTTTATAGCAGAAGATTCATTCTCATTTTGCACATTTGGTGAGTAGTGGAGCGAGGGCGATATATCGTTGATGAGAAAAGATGCGGAAGACTTAGAATGGGAAAGGTAAATCGGCACGTTATCAGAAAGAAATTGGAAGAACCATTTCTTACGGCATAGGGGCCACGCTCCACTATGCACAACATGCATGAAAGACACAAAAACGAAGGCAGGAATCCTCCCCCTTGGCACTGTAGGCATTGTAACTCCCTGTGTACACACCAATCTGCGTTCAGACTTGGGGCATGCTCACACTGGGCCCTGTGTATGCACCAATCTGCATCCAGACTTGGGGCATGCTCACGCTAAGCCTTTTTCGCCTCAGCTCTGGACGTGATTGCAGTCAGATGCATCCAGGTACGACCGTAATCCCTGTCAGTTTCGTCAAGGAAAGCGCTAGTGTGAGTATGTCCCCAGCATTTGCAGAACAGGAGTGTGCACTGAGTAAGGACAGTGTGTTTATTATTATATGCCGATGTACCTGACCTGATTCTCGGGATAATGGCTGTGTCCATGTTGGTGCTTTCAGGCATATTCACTTGCGGCAGAGGCGTATTACTTTCAGGCAGTTGTTTTCAACGACCTGAACAAAATGAGTGAGCGTGATGAAGCGGCAAAGAATTTCCAGCGGTGTGCCCTCACTTATGCCCGGAACCGGCGCTCCTTGATGGCAGTTTTACCTGATTAATTGACTGATTTCAGTGATTTGTAAATGGATTGACTCGCTGTTTATCGAGTGGGTGAGTGTTAAATTCTTAAAGCAATTTGATTGGTTCATTATTGACTGGCCAGCGCATTCCTCAGCATTTCTCCTTTTCAACTTTCTTTTTTTTTTTTTTTTTCCGTCACTTCTCTTTGTTAGCCTGTCTCTATTTTGTTCGACTTTCTGTAAGCTTTATCCTCTTTGACTTTCCCAGGTTTACTTAAGTTTTAGCACTCTTTTCAAGTCTTTTTTTGAAGTTTTCCTTTTTTTTTTTTTTTTTTTGTCCTTGTTTTTGTTTTCTTTGCTCTTTCCTTGGAATTCCTCCCTCGTTTCTTCTTCTGTCTAAGAAGAGCGTACTCTCACTGGCCTTTTTATATTCCTCCCAGAATTTGTGTCGTCTCAGAAACAGGTGAGAATCGTGAGATGATGAGTGGACTAGTTATCGCAATGTCTCCCGCTTCACTTGGGTCAGGACCCTCGCTCCCGGGTGGGCCTTTTTTTTTTTTTTTTTTTTTT